GCCCGAAAAGAGGGCCCCCCCCCCCCCCCCCCAAGGTACTAACGCACCTCCGCAGCTGCGATCCTACGAACATAACTGTGGCACGTTACACAGGTAGAGACCTAGAACACAGAAAGGGGGCCTGGAACAACAAGGACAGGGAGGCAGGTTAGAGTACAGAGCCGAATGTGTACTTTTGAAAGGTAACAGAAAATGCCCTTTTCTTAAGTTATACAGGGTAGCTTTCGATGTAGTCTGGAATTACTTTGTGTTTCAAATTAAACATGGTACATAATATACAACCAAGAAAAACATTTCTAAGGAAGCCCAGGCTATTTTATCTTCGTAAACATTCAGTATTCCTGATGTTGTTCTTCTTCTTCTTTAGGTAATAGAACTCAACCGTTTTTTTTCATGCCATACTTAAAATGTCAGTGTTTAAGTAAGCGTTCTATCTTTTTTCAGTGCCATGTACTGCTTCTACATATAAGTGTTCTAATAGACTTTGCATCAGCAAGACAAACCCTGAGTGTGATGGAATCCCAGACTGCCACAATGGCTCCGATGAGCTGAATTGTGGTGAGTAGATGTATTACAAAGACCTGTCTACATTGGGGTAAAATGAAAGCTTCAGAAAACAGTTATGTATTACCTGTTACATTACCTCTTCAGATAATAATGAGCACTGCTCGTTTATGTATGGATGTGTGGCATGATAACATCTGATTACCTGCCACCAGGTACCACAGTCATCAGTATAAAACTAGTCAAACCTTGCTTAAAGTGACACTAGACTCAGGGATTAAATCCTAAAAATGCATTCAAGCACCTTAACTATTAAGAAAAATGTATCCTATTTGTGTAACACTCAGCTGTAGATCTTAAAATCATCTCTGAATTGGTGCCGACACTGTCCTTCCTTCTGGAGGGTGCTTACATTTGTTCCCCATTGTCCCTGTGGGTGTTGTAAAGTAGCCGCCGCTTCAAGCTCACTCCTGGGACGGACTTCAATCTCAGTACAAATTAGTAAACTAAATGAGATATTGTAGTCCATCATAGAAATGAGCTTGGAGTGGTGACTACTTTACAGCACACACAGGGACCATGGGGAAGAAAAGTAGCCACCCTACAGAAGGAAGGACAGTGTCAGCACCAATTCAGAGATGATTTGAGGATCTACAGCTGAGTGATACACAAATAAGATACATTTTTCTTAATAGTTAAGGTACTTGAATGCATTTTAGGATTTAATCCCTGAGTTTGGTGTCACTTTAAGAAAAAGACTATCAACTATACTGGATTTTTCACTGATGGCCTGTTTTCCCTAGAAATAAGACTGCTGGAATACTAATTAATTTATGTGGAGTGAGCTTACAGGGGAATCATTAATTTATGTGGAGTGAGCTTACAGGGGAATCATGTTGTCAATTTTATCAATTTCACTTACCTTTTAATCAAATAAAATATTTTTTCTAAAAAAAGTTTTGGTTTGTAAGTTGTCAGTCGGCTGCCCAAAAAACCCCAACTTTTCTAATTTTTCGACATGCTGGAATACTAACACATGCAAGTCAACTTGGGTTAAGGAATGAATCACTAAGTAGTTGGATTGACTCTTAGGGGTTGATTTAATTAAGGCAAATTGGCTACTCGCTTTGTAAAGGAATTTGCACTTTGCACAGAAAACTTCCCCTTAGCTTAGTGAATATAGTGCAATTTCACTTTGCAAAGAATACCTAAGTACATGCAAGATTATTATTTGTGCTTGCACATGATTTGGTGATAGAAATCAGTAAACATGTGTGCTGGCAAAAAATTTGTTTAGTTTTTTGTTTTGTTTCGGATGTTTCCTTATTCGTTTTTCGGCATTCGGGTCTGAGAGTCAATTTGTTTGGCATTCTGATTCGGAACGACCCAAAATTTTTGTTAATTTCCGATGAGTTCAAAATGATAATTATGTTGCAAAAAAGTGACATTATGGGGTCTATTCACTAAGCTGCCGAAGGATCTAGCCGTAGCTTCGGCTGATCCTTCGGCTAGCTTCGGCCCCAGGATCTGTTCGGCTAGCTTCGGCCCCAGGATCTATTCACTATAGCCCGTACAGCTCCCGAAGTTGGCCGAGGGGCTCAGTCGTAGACTGATCCGTGTCCACCACAAAAAGCACCTACAATGGGCAACAGTCCATTGTAGCATCAGAACTGGATCATGTAGCAATGCAAAAAGGTGTCCTGGTCTGATGAATCACATTTTCTTTCACATCATGTGGATGGCCGGGTTTGTGTATGTCACTTACCAGGGGAAAAGATGGTACCAGAAATCACTATGGGAAGAAGGGAAGATGGCCCGGGCAGTGTGATGCTTTAGGCAATGTTTATGCCTCGATGGGTCAGGGCTGTTTTGGTGGCAAAAGGGGGTCCTACTTAGTATTAGGTGGGTGGTCATAATTTAATGGCTGTTTGAGGTAAAAAATTGGTGTAATTCAACAACTGATTTTTATAAAAAGAATAAAACCACAAAAAGACCTGTTCATTAACAAAGTTGTTATTTTTAACATTTTTTTCTTTTCCTTCTTTAACAGATTGTGGCACAGCTCCTGTAATACCCTTTAATAAGATAGTAGGGGGAACCGGTTCCCTGAGAGGAGAGTGGCCGTGGCAAGTTAGTCTCTGGCTGCGGAGAAAGGAGCACAAATGTGGAGCTGTGCTGATCTCGGACCGCTGGCTGCTGTCTGCTGCTCACTGCTTTGACATGTAGCTATTTGCAGGGCTTTTTTTTATAGTGTACTGCTACTAGTGATGAGTGCAATTAAGAGGTTTCAGTTCCTGCAAATTTAGTTTTAATTTAGAGTTCAATACAATATTGCCACTTTAGTAAAATGCAAGAGTCAATAGGGAAGATGAAGTTGATCGTTTTCACTTTGGCAAAATTTCCAAGAAGGTGAAATTGGTTTCAGTGAAATCATTCCGCTCATCTCTTCTAGCTACTTTTTCTTAGGGAAAAGATAACTACAGTAGATGTCTGATGGTATTCTATGGAATACTTCTTATAAGAAGAGAAAATATGAAGATGATTAGATCATTACACAGCAGATGACTTCATTATGACTGTATTTTGTCAATTGAGTTTTCCGGCAACTGTCTACGGATACCTTAAAGTAAATGTGTTATAAAAAGGGGCAAATCCAAGATTCCCTATTAGTCCTTTATTTTGATTAATAGAAGTGTTTTGGAAGTTGGAGGTGACTTGAACAAGTCTGGATTTTACCAGAAATGTTACAATTTCCATATAACTTCAGTTTTTTAAAATCTGTGGATCTACTGAATGTTTTTACACGGAGTTTTTATGGAAACATCCCTTTGTTTAATATTTTTTTATCTAATTAAAGGTTTCAGTCACCCATATCCCTTAGGCCTTGTTCACACCACAATGTGTGATATAACAAGTGTCATAAACTGCTATATAGTAGCACAGTGTTGTAATGCACTGACATATATTGTTAATTGCACCTCAACAGTGCAACAAAAGCTGGGTTCAATATGGTGCTCTGCATTTGAAAAGTATTGCAACTCCTATTTTTGCATTCAGGTGCGTTGGCAGCCCATTTATCATTGGTAAAAAAAATTGTGCGTTGAAGTGCATGTGATGCATTGTGAACAGGCCCAGAGATGTAGAAAAGTATATCTATCCCATAAGAATGATAATTTTCTCATATAGATTTTTTCTCCATGTGCAATAAAGGTATAAACATACTTGTGTGCAAAGACAGCTAACCCAATCAGCTAACGCCATATGCAACCTTCAAAAATAGAATGAGCGGTGTAAGTAAACCAGCAGGTGTCAATAATCCAGAAGCTGTTATTCTCCAGAACATTCATCTCTTTTCCATTTATCAATTGCTGACAGAAATAAGTAAGCTTGCATCATGATCTCTTTTCTGAAAAGGCTAGTTGCCTGGCTTTTATACGTTTGAAATCACTGACCTGGCTCTAGTTTGCAGATCGGAAGTTCTGACTTTACTCTGACCTGCATGAGCATTATTGGTCTTATAGTCAGATTTTATGTAAAATGGGCAGATGTATTGATCCTCTATTAATTGTAATAGTTTTACTGTATACAGTGGCATCACAAGGGGGGTGCGGCCCGCACCCTGGTGACACCATTGGAGGGATGACACCAAGATGACTGACAGTCATTTTGGTGTCATCCCCCTCTGAAAAGTCAGGCACACGGTCAAGGACCGAGAGCCTGACAGTTGCGAGAGAGAGAGGAGGGGATCCAGCGGCATACCTTATCCCGCCAGGTGACACGCGCTCCTCTCTCTGCCAGCGTCCATCACCAAGATGGCCGCCGGCAGGTAACAGCGGTACTGCACACAATGAAATCACTGAGGGGTTTCACCCGGTGCCCTGCCTCGGGATGCCTCTGACTGTATATCCAAATATCAGTTATCTTATCAGATGTTCATGGAAAGCTGTGAAGAAGTAACATGCCTGTGTGCTGGGCAACTTGGGGATGTTGTATCCTACAAGTTTTTTAAGTCCTGTAGTGCTCCTCTTACTATAGAGAAGAACTGCAGGATTATAATATACTAACGTTTCACCAGCCTGGGCTACAGGAAAGCAAGTGAGAAACATAGACTACCATTGCTAACATCTCCTATTAAAACATTAGTTGCCTGGTTAGTCCAATTGTCTCAATATTTTATGAATTACTGATGTAGTACATTTACACAGACGTCTGACTACACCTGTACTTCTCTGGCTGAATACTTATACTATATGGGCAAAAGTTTGTGGACATCTGACTTCTACACCTATAAGTTTGGGAACACCTCTCCAAATTATTGAGTTAAACTGACACTAAACTGAGAAGTTAAACCTTAAAAATGCATTCAAGTGATTTACCTATTAACAAAAATGTATCTTATTTGTGTATCACTCGGCGGTAGATCCTCAAATCATCTCTAAATTGGTGCTGACACTGTCCTTCCTTCTGGAGGGTGGCTACTTTTGTTCCCCATGGTCCCTGTGTGCGTTGTAAAGTAGCCACCGCTCCAAGCTCGCTCCTGTGATGGACTACAATCTCAATACAGATTAGTAAACTAAAAGTGAGATTGTAGTCCATCACAGGAGTGAGTTTGGAGCGGTGGCAACTTTACAACACACACAGGGACCATGGGAAACAAAAGTAGCCACCCTCCAGAAGGAAGGACAGTGTCAGCACCAATTCAGAGATGATTTGAGGATCTACAGCCGAGTGATACACAAATAACATACATTTTTGTTAATAGTTAAAGGAGAACTATGAGGTGAGTGATTTTCACTCAGCCTCATAGTTCGAGCTGACGTGTGACAATGAAACTGGCACACGGTTGGCTCAATAGATCGGGAAGTGAGCGAACACATACCGCCACTCGCTCACTTCTCGATCCTGTCCCTGCAGAGAGCTGTTACTGTCACTCACGGCTCCCTGCAGGGATTCCCCCTCCCCGATCATCCAGCGCTGACTTGCGAAACAGACGGGGAGGGGGCAGGTACAGCTGGCCCTGCCTCTAGATAGGCAGAGCCAGCTGTCAATCACGCGGCTGGGTGGATCTCGACAGTAATGTCGGGATCCGTTGCGGCTGCAGCGGTCTCAGTCTCCCGCGAGCTGTAGCTCACGGTATACTGAGCTTTGGGTCACGGAAGGACGCTAGTTTGTGTCCTCCCATGACCCTTAGGAGAACTATGGGGAAAAACACTGACCCCATAGTTCTCCTTTAAGATACTTCAATGCATTTTTGAGATTTAACTCCTGAGTTTAGTGTCGCTTTAATGTTTTTCCAGTTAAGGTTATTGTTTATGCTATAGCAAACATAGACACTTTTTCAATTTTGTGCTTCCAGTCTTGTGGCAACAGCTTGGGGAAGGTCCTTTTCCTACCAGCATGACTGCGCCCTTGTTAACAATTTGAGGTTCATAAAGACATGGTTTGATGAATTGGTGTGGAGGAAGTTGAGAGAACTGTACAGAACCCTCACCTCAAATTTATTGAACATCTTTGGGATGAATTAGATCATTGATTATAAACCAGGTGTTCTCATTCAACATTAGTACTAGACCTAAAGAATGCTTTGATGGCTGATGGATGAATCAGCATAACTTCCCAGACACACTACAAAATCTTGTACAAAGCCTTCCCAGAAGTGTGAAGTGGAGATTGCATAGCTCCAAAGTGGGGAGTCTATCGTAATGACCATGGTTTTAGAATAGGATGCAGTGACGTGCGGTACCTTCCATGCTGGGTGAGGCATTTACCAACCCAGTCACCACGTTATGTGTGGAGGAGACTGGGAGGAGCCTCCCCATCCCTCACTTGCTCATCACTGGTGAGGCATCGAGATCGATGTCCTCAGTGTTTTTTGTTGTTATTTTTTTTGGTTGGACAGCTTGGTTGGCGCTTTGACATTGGTCCAAACCATACACAGAGCTTAAGCCTTTAACACAGAGGCTGTTGCAGCTCTTGCCTCACTATGTTAGGTTACACAAGCAGTAGGTAAGCCCGCTGCTGTGCAACCTAACTTTGCTGTCAAAAGCCGGATGCAGCGCTGCCTGTAATTAACAGGCAGTACTTCCTCCATGACAGGTTACACAGCGGGGAGGATTTCTCTGCTGTGTAACCTCTAACAAGCCGCTCTGAATGGAGGAAAAGCTGTCAGCTTCAAAATTGAAGCTGACAGCTTTTTCCTCCATAATACTAGGTGAGGCTCTGCCTCCCCTGACCGCACGTCCCTCCCTGATAGGATGTCCAGGAAGCTCAAATAGGTGTGATGGTCAGTTTCCACAGACTTTTGGATATACTTTATAGTATTTTTTCGAAAGCAAAAAAAAAGTTTCCTCAGAAAGCACTAAAGCCAGAGACAGCTATGAGAAATTCAGCATTGGCTACTTAAGTATTTATCTCAAATGTGCCATATCCCACTTAATTCAGTGGTTGTCCATTATTTAATATAATGCTTGTGTGTTAGAATAAATTATTAGCCAGTGTTATATTTAGTTTTTATCCAGGGTGATTATGTAGGGTTAATTACAGGTACATATTTTGCTTATATAGGTAGAGAGCACTAAGGTACCTATTTATATATAGAGAAAATGTTCAGATTTGATGAGGATTTTCCATGTAATCATTTTCCAGATTTATATTCATTTACAGTCTGCATGTTAGCCAAACGTTCAGCATCCATTCAGTGTTCTTTTACCCTATACCTTTACATTCATGGCAAAGGTAGCAGGTAGATCCAGGCAAACATGACTAAACTATCCCAACTTATATATGTTCCAAAAAAACAAGATTAAGATCATCTAAATAGATTAATAAATAATAAACACTGTTATAGAGATCTAGTTAGACCCTCTAGGAAAGCATATTGCATTCAGATACTAAGCCATAAATGTTACTGCTAAAGTGATCGTTTTGTTGTTAAGGGTTCTCAAGTTTCAGTTTTGGTCTTCTACAACAGTGTTTGTCAACCTTTTTTTTTAGTCATGGCACCCTTTAAACGCATGCAAAACCTCAGCGTATTTCAGTCCCAAAAAATATTGTGTGGTCCATTGAAAATCCATGCTAGACCCTTATCCCAGATTTTAAGGGGGCACCCCCACATTAAATGACCAAAAAAATGGTGTTTCCCCGAATTAATATCAAAGTACCTCTAAAAACCAGGAGCCCCCCTTTACATAAGAATCCCGCCTTTCACATCAGGTCCGCTCTTCACTTAAGGAGCCCCCATCTCTCACACTAGCAGCCCCCCTTCACATCACATGCTCCACCTTCATATCAGGAGTCCTCTTCACATCAGAAGCTCCCACCTTCGTAACAGAAGACCCTCTTTACAACAGGAACCCCCTTTTCACATCAGAGTACCCCTTCACATCAGGAACCTCCTTCACATCAGAAGCCACCTTTATATCATGTAAGTCCTACCATCACATCAGAAACAGGGTGGAAGGTGGAGTAGGCCTGGACAGTCCTTTTCTGAATGGATCCCACACTCCCTAGATTAGCGTCATTCATTTCCATGGTCTGCTTGCACTGTGGAAAGGCATGACGCTGTGTGAATATTTCAAGGCACCCCTGAGGAAGCCAAAAGGTACCCCAGGGTGCCACAGCATCTTGGTTGAGAAAAGCTGGTTTACAAAATGAAAAGACAATGTTTTCCACACTTTTGCTGTAAACCTGTATGATTTACATGACTGTGTTTTTCATTATTGGCAGCTACAGTGATCCAAAACTGTGGGCAGCATACTTAGGGACTCCCTTTCTTAATGGAGTGGAGGGAAGAGTGGAAAAGATTTTTCGGATACATAAGCATCCTTTCTACAATGTCTACACACTGGATAATGATGTGGCCCTTCTAGAACTGCCGTCACCGCTGTCATATACTAATCTGATCAAGCCCATCTGCCTTCCAGATACAAGTCACAGCTTTTCAGAGGGAACCAAATGTTTTATCACAGGTTGGGGATCTACTAAGGAAGGAGGTAATTGCACAGCAAAATCACAGTGCTCTGACAATAATCATCATTTAAAATTCTTCCTGGATTTTGCCTTTATGTCCATATGTGAACTGTGGCTTATATATATATCCCAGGTCCAATGGCCAGACAACTGCAGAAAGCCTCTGTTACCATAGTTGGGGATCAGACATGCAGAAAATTTTACCCCATTCAGATCAGTCCCAGAATGCTTTGTGCTGGCTTCATGCAAGGAGGTGTTGACAGTTGTTCGGTATGTATTGTTGCCTTTATTATGCATATAGTACTCAAATCATCTATGAAATTTGCCCATCTCTTACCTTTTTAATTGCCTTTTCCATCTGTTCTTGTTACATTTTTAGGGTAAATCTAAACTCCAGCCAAAATGTCAGAGTCACAGTTATATACCCCTTTACATGTCCTATTCTTATAGCTGCAAGCGATCTTCATACGCACAGTACAACTTTCTTTCCCCCTGAAATCACAAGAATGGTACCCTCTCATCTCAGGGGAGATCATGGGAAAATGGCTGCTAATGTTCTTTTTCCCTTAGTCTGCTTTTCTGCAGACTGAATAATGAAGGGGCAGCAGCACACCAATGAGATCACACCTGTGTTTACCAAGGCTGTAAGCATGCTCAAAGACAAAGCATGGCGCAGAGCTATAGAGTCTGATTCTCTTAGAATGCTACGGATTCCTCTTCTCGCACTGGATGTCTCGGGTATTACACATATTCTATAGAAAGACACATTTGCTTACTTATATAGGCTTAATTTAAAATAATAAATCTGTTATCTATGGTTCCCACTATCAACCTCAGCATGTGCGGCTCAACCAAAGTGAAGAAAACATTCTTAGCCAATCCAACATCTGCCTAGGCTGAGGCGAGCGCTTGGCAGGTCACTCCCTGCTGTTCTCATAGGGGCCGAACAGCAGGGAGTAAATAGCCGAATGCTGGCATGCAGCATTCAGCTTGGTTATTCTGTTCGCTACCTCAGTTCACTAGCCACAGTTAAAAAAGTGTTTGGGGTTCCCCCTAAAAGTCATTCCAGGTCCTTTAGATCTGGTAGTAATTTTAAGCGGGAACCCCCACAGCTAAAAAGATGGAAAAACAATGTGAGGTCCCCTCTAGAATTCCAAACCAGACCCTTAATCCAGACACTGGCCTGGCAGGGCAGGAAAGGCCATACCAGGCCACATACCTCAGCATTGGGAGTGTGCTTTTCTAGGGGGTTCCCCCTAGAAAAGCACCTTGTCCCCATGCCGATATGGACAAGGGCCCCTTCCACCGGGCCAGGGTTGTGGGGGTCTGCAGGCAAGGGCTTATTTGCATCGGGGTACCCCCTTTCTTTCAATTCTGATTCCTGAATGGGTGAATCTGGGTTCTTTATATTCAGCTGAAGCACTTTGTGTTGTAATGAGGAAAGTTGCAGTGTCTGCATCCCTTTGGCTGTAATTAACCCTTTGGGAGAAACTTGCCAAAACGTCATTTCTATTGCAGGAGATAACACGTTACTTGTATCTCACTGCAGACTTCTAAGACAACCTGTGGGCCAATCACACAAGCAGGAAATTATATTTCTGGGGGTGTTTTGTATACCGTGATGTACAGAACACCTCCAGGTTTGCCATATTGCATTGGATAGTTTTGAAATGACAGTGTCTTCACATGTAAAATGTAATTTTTACCATGAGAATACAAAATTGCAAAATTGCTTGTTTAGCAATTTTATATGCAATATTGTTTAAAGTGGAGTTTTCATTTATTGGCTGATGCAGTGTGGCAACAAGCGTGTTGGTTGTTAGCAGTCACAGCAGAAATATCACACTAAGCATCTATCTTATGAATCCCATTTCCCAAAACCCAAGTTGAGCTGATAATTGTAAACAAAAATAAAATAGAAAGATGCCCCAAGGATGTCTAAGCCAGTGCATTAGATCCTTTAGCATACTTGTCAAAGCTTAGTCTAACATTTGCTTATTTGTCTTTTTAGGGAGATGCTGGAGGACCACTAGCATGCAGGGAATCATCTGGACGATGGTTTCTAGCTGGAATAACCAGCTGGGGCTATGGCTGTGCAAGGCCCTATTTTCCAGGAGTTTACACCAGGCTAACATCTGTCCGCAACTGGATTGGACAGACTTTACGTTTATAAGGGATTCAACTCAGGGAGTGGCAGAGTCAGAAGGCCAAATGGATCATTATAAAATGCTTGCAGGGAAGAGCTTAACTGCCGACCTTAGAGCATGGAATGACCACAAAAGACATTTTACTGGCCAGTTCAATTGTATGCTTTTGAAGTGGACCTTTTAGACTATTTTGTATAAATAAAGGTGACCTATTATGACCACACTATGAAGAACTTGTGTAAGACATATGATTGCATACGCCTGATCCTTTTGACACGTTAGCAGTACAATATGAAAACATGTTAACTGGTTACAAGTTCATTCTAATATAGGAATACAATAAAATGATCACAGTGCCAAGTTTGGTATGACTAGAGGATTCATAGGCTGCAGTGGTTTAACGAATTAAAGTGACTATATCCAAGCCCTTCACTGCTACCTCACTCTCTTACAGAAGTCCTGAAATACTTACCTTGGATGCAGAATGCTCTAAGCTACTGATGCAGACAGCTGTATAGACAAATGCCAAAACGTTATGAAATTTGGTTGACTTGCTGCTGTAAAGGATAGGTCAGTCTTTCTTTTCCATTCAGCAGAGATCATGTACCTAACGCCTAGGCCAGGGCGTAGTTCCAGCTGTGGTGGAACTACAAATCCCATGATGCATCTCTCTCCGGGAGTCATGTCTGTAGCTGTCAGAATCTTGCAATGCCTCATGGGATTTGTAGTTCCACCACAGCTGGAGGGCCGGAGTTTGGCTACCCCTGGCCTAGGCAATTAAGTAACCTGGAATAGTTTCTGCGGCAAAGGAATTTCAGGTCTTGTGTAAGCTGTTGTCACTTTAAAAGAAAGGGTGGACAGGAGAGGCTTATACAATAGGTCCACTTTAAGAAGCCACAAATAGGATACATCATACCAATATACAGAGGACAATCTAATGTAGCGCAACTGAATGTCAACGATAACGGCACAACTTCTTCCATGTTCATTTCAGTACAGCGCTGCATGACGGAATAAATGTCAGTTAAAGTACCGCAGCGCTGAATACTGAAGAATGGCCTGGATGGGAAGGGGGTTTAACACCGCGGATGTCAACTGGTTAATACCTCAAAGTAATACAAACATTATAAAGAAATTAATTAGCATGTGCTGGATTGAAATCAAAACGATAAAATATACATTCTGCTCATTCACATTGCAGGGGGCCGTGTTGCGAAAAGACATCATATTTTGGTTTAACTAGACCAGTGGTTCTCAACCTTTCTAGGGCCGGGACACCTTGGTAACATTTGCCAGGTTGTGGTGGCCCCCAATGGAAAAATTTAGGGGTGCACCAATACTAGTATCTGAGTGGGCTCTTAGGTGGCTAGTGGCACTCACCTCCTCTCACTCCTGCCCAATTCCCTCTCTCAGATCCCCTCCGTCCGCCGCTGCTGCAGCACCATCTAGGAGAACTGACACTGCTGCACTAGGAGGAGGCTGAGGAGTCTCTTACCTAGCACAGCACAAGGCACATGGCGAACCCCTCAACTGTGGGTTGCGACCCACAGGTTGAGAACCACTGACAGTAGTGACAGCAGTAAGGCATTAAGCTCTCCGAGCCTTATTTTGTTAAATAATTAAACAGGCAACCACAATGATAAATCAGAATCATTTTTATTTTGTCACTCCTGTGTCCATCATGGGAAATGTGAAAATGAAGACAAAACGGGGGAAGACAAACAAGCAAGATGACAGCAGCCATCACCTTCTGACAATCTGTAACAGGATTGTAATGAATATGTACGGGATATTTTGTATGAGAACCAACAATACCTACTGATTAAACACTAATTTTTTTCACATCTGTCTTATCTGTTAAACATCACAGCTGCACAATAAAAACCTGGAAGATTGTATACCTATCAATTTCGTAGAGAAAAACAAAACATATGCAGTACATGTAGAAATAGTGGATGGATTTAAAACAAAAAATAGATTCTTAAGCGGACCATACACCAGTAGAATTGTGTTAAAAATGTTAGTTTTTGCACTTTTCTGAACGTTAATGGGATCAAATCAACGATCGTTTCTATCCGCAGTGATAAAACAAAATTCAGTCCTGCTCCTTTTATTTTATTTCCCCTCGAAAGAGAGAAATTCTAACAGTGAATGTGGTTTTCGTTCGGGAGACTCCATTTATTCCAAAATCAAGTGTTAATACCAAATAAAATTTCAAACATTCGTCAAGTCTCTGATGGCATTTTCAGGTGTTGTGATGCAATTTTTCGTATGAGCATTCTTACAAAAATCTAATAGTGTATTGCCAACTTTACTGACCTGACTCGTGCTACTCATTTTTTTGTTGTTTTTGTTAATAGATGCCCATAACTTTAAACGGTAATATTTTATACAACATATATGAGATTTCAAACATATCCAGGTTGGTACAGAGGAAGCAAACAGTTTTGAGAAGCCCCTGTGAGCCAGTGAAACAGACATGAATAGAGAAATGTAAAAGTTACACTGCTGCACAGGAGATTGCCAGCGAGATATTCACCACAACTGCTACCTTAAGGATAATTGTTACAGAATATTAAGATCAGTTCATCAATGGCATAGCCATCAGGTTTTTAATTTACAATTGAACCCATTGACTGCAGGTAGCCGCTCTCTGCATATCTGGAATGGTAAACTGATGGCTGTTGTATTCCCATTATCAGAACTAGAGGCCAGTCAGTGCAGGGTTCGGTTGGATGCAGATGTCCTGGCTCATGTCACATCTTCGCACGCTCTCGCTGTAGTCTGGAGTTGTAGGCTCTGGACACAGTATTCCAGGCATCCATGTATCTGTCCATACACATTGCAATGCACTTCTGTAGGACAAAACAAAAACCATTACTTAATCGCAGCTGGATTCCCAAAACAAAATTCTTATTTTACAAGGGTTTTCATACAATGTTTTTATTATTATACAGGATTTATATAGCGCCAACAGTTTGCGCAGCGCTTTGTTCACGAGTTATGATTTTTTGTAACCACTTCCCTACTGGCCACTGTAAATAGCCGGCCAGTAGGTTGAGTGGTTGTACTTCTACATTCTCCCATGTTTTCTCTTGTGTGTGAACCCAAGACATTAATTCCTGATGAAAGCAAGCTGCAGTAGCAACAATTGTTTTCAACTCTTTCAGCCCCTCCCCCCTCACCTGTATATGTCAGTTCCATTCTGCTCTGACCTATATATAATCCCTTTTCACCTCCCTTTTCCTGCACATCTCTACATTAAAGCGACACTAAACTCAGGAGTTAAACATTTTTCAAGTACCCATACTATTAACATAAATTAATTGGTGCTGACACTGTCCTTCCTTCTGGAGGGTGCTTACATTTGTTCCCCGTGTGTGTTGTAAAAGTAACCACTGCTCCAAGCTCACTCCTGTGATGGACCACAATCTCAAATGCAAAATTACTAAACTAAACCTGAGTTGATAGTCCATCACAGGAGTGAGCTAGGAGTGGTGGCTACTTTACAAAACACACAGGAACCATGGGGAACAAAAGTAGCCACCCACCAGAAGGAAGGACAGTGTCAGCACCAATTCAGAGATGATTTGAGGATCTACAGCCGAGTGATACACAAATAAGAGACATTTTTGTTAATCGTTAAGGTACTTGAATGTATTTTTAAGGTTTAACGCCTCACTTTAGTGTCACTTTAACCCCTCATCTCTATCGTGACACTGCATGTGCCCTGTACATTAACCCCCTTATCTCCACCCTCCTCTGTGTATGACCAATACATTAACCAGTTGACATCCGCGGTGTTAAACCCCCTTCCCATCCAGGCCATTTTTCAGTATTCAGCGCTGCGGTACTATGACTGACATTTATTCCGTCATGCAGCGCTGTACTGAAATGAATTTTATACCATTTTTTGGGGACAGATAGAGCTTTCTTTCGTGGTATTTATTCACCGTGAGGGGGTTTTATTTTTTTACTATATTAAGGAAAAATTACCAAAATTTAAAAAAAAAAAAAGTTTCCCCTATATTAAATGATAAAACATTTATTATTACCCAATTTTTTGGTAAAATATAAAAGATGGGGTCACGTCGGGTAAAAAGACACTAAACATGTCAAGCCTTAAAATTGCGTGCGCGCGCGAAACCTCAAAAAACGATAATACCCAAAATTGGCCCTAGGCGACGCTTTAAAAGCTGTTACCGCTCATCAGTTTAGTGTTATCAGTGATTGATGGCCCTAAAATGATTGCTCTCACTGCGACGTTCGCGGCGATATGTAACATGTGTAGCGCAATTGTAATTTTTGCGCGCTGGGGCACCGGACGCGTATTTACGTTTATAGGCGCGTAAACGTGGGGGTGGGGGAGTTAAACATTTTGGGGGGGTTTTTTCCCCTTTTTTTATATGTGGCTTTTATTTTATTTTATTTTTTTATGTGTTACTTTTCTTTTTTTTTATTTATATTTTTTTTTTTGCACTTATTGTTATTGCTATTATATAGGGGGATAACAACCCCCTATATAATAGCAAAGGCACACTGACAGGTCCTCTTTATGGAGATATTAGGGGTCTCTAGGACCCCTAATATCACCTATGGACCCCAAAAGAAGCTGATAAAGCAGAGATCTGCTTTATCAGCTTCTTCTCTCTCCAGATGACTGACAGGTGAATGCGGAAGTGATGTAACACACATCACTTCTGCATTCACAGCCCGGACGGAGATCAGCAAGGAGCAGGGGGGTAGGGACGCGAACGAGCACATATAGACGATCGGCGGGCTATGGAGCCGCTGATCGCCTATATGTGAAACACCCGGTAACGGGTGTGTGCAATGGTCGGGTCTTTTCTGCCCATGCGTGCCCTCTAGGTGCAGTTCCGTCTGTCCGTTTTTTTACTACGGGCGGACGGCAAGAGGTTAATGATGCTCTGTCCTGAGGTGGTGAAGTACATTAGCAGAGTCTGAAACAACTTTAGAGATGTAGATAGAAAATGTACAATTGAAATGTGTTTTTATTCATTCTACAATTATATATGTGATGCAAAAGTCCACATTTGAAAACATTGAATCCCTTTAAATACGGCATTAAGCTTGATTATAATTATATGGATTAAAAGTAAACCAGGCAAAAAAGGAGCCCCCTCTTCATTTCAAGGGTTAAATGCTTATTTCATCTAGGGTATTGAGTCGTTAGCATTTTTTTAATAGTGCAAACTAAGTAGGGATAAAACTGTATCAGGTGAACCGCACAGGACATTATTTGTGTAAAGCCTCTGTAAGCCGTATATAGGGGGTAGTGTAACTTTATGCTCATGCACAGAAGTTCAAGCAATATCTGCTGCATGAAAGAGATAATAAATAACCCTACATACATTTTCTTAATCCTTAGGTCAGCATGATGTAAAGGATCTTCTAACATGCCATGTGACACATTTCATTGAAGGTGGTCACATTAAGTGATTTTTTGCCATTTTAAAGTATAACGTTGATTTGCACATTCTGCGGTACATAACAGAAATGTTATTCGCTGTTCATGTGCTTTAGTATACCAGCCCCATTTAAGTGTGTACTCATGCATTGCTCATGCTTTTTACGTGCCTTTCTAGAAGCAGTTGTGTGCAGCCTATAGTTTAAAACTCATAAAACACATGTACATTGCGGTTTACAAATCGTAGTAGTAGTAGCACAATGTAGTACTATTACATCCAATGGAAGATTGCTGGAAACCACAAGAAGGATGCAGCAAGCAGGACACCACACTAAGAACGCAGATGAGAATGATAAACAATTATACAGATGGACGATCACTGCATGGCTACAGCATTAAACATCATTAATGGTGTAGGTCACGTACCTGCTCTGAATTATCCAAAGAGCTTCCTGGCTTGCTAACACATTTTCGAAAACATTTATCTGTCATCCTCTGCCGAGATAAAAAGACAACGGTCAGAAATAGCAGGCTAGAGTACAGACAGTTGTAGTACCTGAAGATTGTAATAATGTAACATTATATTAATTAATTGGATACTAAACATATAGGAGATACACTTAAGGTGCCCATACACCTTACGATTATCGTACGATAATCGTATGCGATAGACTTTTCGTACGACAATCGTAACGTGTGAATAGAGTGCCCGACCGATAGTACTGTACAATCGTACGACTATTGACGGTCAAGCATGTCTGAAAACTTTGGTCGATCGTACGATGTTCGCATGGTTGGTGGTGTTTCTCTCCGTCAAAAGTCGTACGATTAACACTGCGCAAACGAAAATAATGACGGTCAATAACCGCAAGTCGTCCAGGTGGTTTTTTTTAAACTACCGCTGATTGAACCTTGCGATAAATCGGGGCAGGATGGGGCCGTCGTACGACAATCGCACGACGGTTCGATCATCGGGCGAAAAGTTTTGTCCGATAATCGTAAGGTATATGGGCACCTTTACAGTAGATCGAAAACCCAAAACACCTGTCCTTAGATGAGGCAGCTGCATTTGGTTTATTTATTTATGTTTCCCAAGCCAAGTACAGAAAAATACCCGTTGATCCTGAGTCCAGTAACTTTGTAGCATCCTGTGCAAGGAGCTCTAATCCCAAACGACATTATCTTTCCTAACCATCTACTGTCCACTACAAAACAAATCCCCTCTATGTTATAACGAAAATGGGAGGGGAAAGGGTTTGTAGTAAAGATCAGGAGAGCAACATAAGGCGACAATACTGCTTCTCCACGGATAGCACGTACAGCAGCTACATCTTCAGTGGCCACCAAATGACCAAAGAAAGAAGACTCTGGTCCAGAAGCTGAATCTGAGAACATGCCAGTGGTGGCAAGGAAAGAATGAACCTTCCATTGCTGCAGGAGGTCAAACGATGAAGTATGCCATAATGTGCAAGTTCATTTTCTTGCTAGTCATGCCAAATGTTTTCCAAGCTGCAGCATGATCCTCTGTTTAGCCCCAACAAGCTTACTGAGGTCAGGTAACTTTCAAAGTAATCCTAAACCGCATACCTCCCTGCTAAACCCCAATTGAAGTGCAGCATGTACATGTATAACAGACAGGCAGGAACTCTGCCCCACTCTTCAGCAAACATCATCTGAAAAAATGCCTAGGTATTTGGTCAAACGACCAGACACCATAGAAGCCCATGGTACAGAGTTTTCTACTGGACAGGAACATCTAACCCTTATTTTTGTTATTACTAACACAATCTAATGGAGGCTGGTCGGCTATATAGCTGCTTCATGTTTATGCTGAGCTAAGCCTTTTGAGAAAGAATGGTAATGGTCTTGTACCTTGCCCAACCCCAACCTCCTCAAGAGCCTGTTCCAACCTATGTCCAGAAGGGTATACTCACCCCATCCTTGGTGCCGGCTTGTTCTTAGACTTGTCCTTCCAGCCTGCCCCCCCCAGCCCAGCAGTCTAAAGTCACATGAGTCATCACGTCCAATATAGTATATACTGAGGGACATACCATCGTTGCAGTGGGGGGGAGCAATGTAACAGCTGGCTCTGAGCTTCGAGTGAGTATAACCTTATTTTTACACATAGATTTTTTTTTTAAAAATAGCATTTAACCCTTGCAATGCAGGATAGCCCCACTGCAAGGGCTGAGAAAAATGTACCTTGGAGTTCTTTAAGTAATGGACTGCATTATCTGTTTTAAGCCTGCCATGATCATTTTAGCCCCCATTCACGCCTGAGCATCTTCAACACTCAACATGTAGAATTCCATTATTTTCAATACTGCCGGTTCACAACTGAGCGTTGTGTCACTTGAAATAATACATAAGCTTCTTTTTGGGCAGAATCAGACCTTTTTATCTCCATAGACTTCAATAGGAACACCTAATATGCATTTGTTTTGTGCGACTTTGCATCCAGGACTCATTTGCACCTAAGCATCGGCATAGCTAGGTGGTTTTCTGTTTTTGTTGCACGTTTTTATGCACTTCTTGTAGTACGGAAGAGTGTTTTAGGCCCATAGACTTTTCAATGGGATTGACTGAAAAGACACAAACATGCATTTTTCAGGTGCTCCCATTAAAGTCTATGGGGCCAAAACACTTACATTGTCTGAAAAAGACGCTCCTGTAGTGTTTGGCGTGATGGATGTTTTGGCGTTGATTGCTCGGGTGTGAACTGACGCCATAGAAGACTATGGGATTTTTTAATTTTGAGCGTTTCGTAGTGAATAAGGGCCCTTTCCCCTCCTCTTAGTAACTAGCTTTCCACTGGCTGAAAGAAAACTGCTAAAGAAGTGAAGGAAGCCTTTTCTCCTATTCCTGGTAACTAGCTTGCCATTGGCTAAAACAAAAACGATCAGACGGAAATGGGGCCCTTTGCCTAATAACTAGCTTTCCATCGCCTAAAACAAAGGAAAGGAAATGGGGCCCTTTCCCCTCCTCCTAGTAACTAGCTTTCTATTGGTTAAAACATACACAGTGGGCCTTTTCTTCCTCCTCCTAGTACCAGCTTTCCATTGGCTAAGCCTGAAAAACATTATAAAAACAACGCTTTAATATGACCTGAAAATACTCCCGCTCAAGTGTGAATGGGGGATTACGTACAGCTAGGACTAGGACACACTAGCAATCCTTGTCTGTGACAACTCACTATCGACAAGATCACTACACAGGGCAGAGAAATACTGCAGGCGTTCTGTGGGTGACTCCCTTGCAGGACAGATGAGTGACCAACAATCTGCAGCATTTCAGTCAGCAGCAGATCAATGGCTTGCATGTCCAGGTCATTATTCTGCCCTTTTGGTTAAGCTTTAACTTTCTCTGTTACAGGATCACCAGTGTGCAATGGACCTTGTAGCAAAGCCATGATTAACTGCAAACATCATTTGGTTAGAAAACTGTTTTTAATTTAGATATCCATATCATATGGCTGAGCCCAAGGTACCCTCACCATTCCACTATATAGACCTGACATGATGACCTGCACTCTGTATGACAAGCAGCACAAAGTCAGCAATGAGCACTGCGGGTCACGTGACTATCCGTCACGAGCAGACAAGCTCCAGCCGGGTTATCACTCTCACACACACACACTCTTCATATCTGACCTGCAGCAGTTCCTGTGCATTGGCCACCGCGATCTGAACTTTGACCTGCTCCATGATCGCCCCGGTATCCACCTTACCGGTGCCTGAGGACTGTTGCCCCGAGGGGGAGAAGTCAGAGCTGAAGCCATCCATGTCTGCACTGACCGGGGCCGGCTCAAAGTCAAACACACGTGTGGTGTATTTCCTGCTCCGGGCCGGAACCGGAAATATTGCCTTTAGCCTGACTACTGGAGCATCTCGGTAGTTGAAGTCTCATCAAGGTCATTCAGCTTTTCAACTATTTAAATGACAAAGAAATGGTTATTTAAAGTTTCGGGAGAGTCGTGTTATGCTTTCTGTGAATGCAATGGTTGAATTATGGATCACGCTTCTCTTCATCTAGTATCTCTCCATATTTTATCGTAAAGGTGCCTCAAAAATACATCTTACAGTGCCCCCTTGTGGTCAATGGCTGGACGTGGATTCGTGCAATAATTTTGACAGATCAATATAGTTTATAGCAGGTGTAATGAAATAAGATTCAAGGAGGGCCAATGACCACAATTTTCTTTGAGCCAAGGTCTGAATTGCAGTCTGGACAGAACAGTCACTCAGTCCTCGTGTACACCACAGTCCGCCATTTAGGCTATATTCACACCAGGGCCTGATTAAGAGGATCATGGGCCTGGCACTGAGGATTTTGGTGGACCTTTTTATGCAAATGGCGACTGTCACCGGGGCCTTCTTCCTCCTGTCCGGGCCGTAATTTGTAGTCTCTCTACAGCTTGGAGTCAGTGGTGGAGCACCAGGGCCCGGTTGCAGCTGCGACCGTGGTAGATCTGCCACTGACTGCAAGCCGTAGAGACTTTAAATCTTAGCACTGCAGAATACCGCCAACTCTAGAGGACTACAAATCCTAGTAATGCATTACAAAGCAATGCAGAATAATACCACCAGGTATAGATGACTACAAATCCCAGCAATATTACCACTAACTCTAGAGGACTACAAATCCCAGTAATGTATTACAAAGCAATGCAGAATAATACCACCAGGTATAGATGACTACAAATCCCAGCAATATTACCACTAACTCTAGAGGACTACAAATCCCAGTAATGCATTACAAAGCAATGCAGAATACCACCAACTATAGAGGACTATAAATCCCTGTGATACAGTATGCAGCAACGCAGAATAATACCACCAGCTATAGAGTACTACAAATGCCAGCAATACTTTATACAGCAATGCAGAATATGAAGCTACATACTCTGTGTTGCTCCAGGTTCGCGGCCTGCTGTCTCCAGGGTCTCAGGGGACTGTGCAGGCTCTCTGCTGTTTGGGTTCTTAGGTGGCCAGTGCGGCTCTATGAGGGTCGGGGGGGGTCAGAGAGACTGGCAACTGCAGTCGCGGCTCTCTCCTCAGGCACACCAGAAGGCCCTCTGAATAGAGGGTCACGGCTCACTGCTACATGGTTTGCTCGACCCGGTCAGGCCTATTTGCCTATTTGCAGTGGCGGGCCTGGAGTGGGAGCTCCACCTGCCCCTATATTAATCTGGCCCTGATTCACACCAGCAGCTCCACTACAACACACAGCTTAAAAAGTCACAAGTGACATTTCATGAAGTTCTATGCGCACAGCGCAGTGTGATGCAATTGTACCACATTGTGCTTGGCTTCACTGAACAAAAGTACAGTCTCCATCAGAATGCCCCCTTACATCAGTTATTTATCTATCCCCAACAGAGTGCCCCCTTACGTCAGGAGCCCCCAACAGAGTGCTTCTTAGATTAGTTGCCGCCCTTGCAGTGCCCCCTTACATTAGTTGCCGCCCTTGGAGTGCCCCCTTACATTAGTTGCCGCCCTTGGAGTGCCCCCTTACATTAGTTGGCCGCCCTTGGAGTGCCCCCTTACATTAGTTGCCGCACTTGGAGCGCCCCCCTTACATTAGTTGCCGCCCTTGGAGTGCCCCCTTACATTAGTTGCCGCCCTTCGAGTGCCCCCTTACATTAGTTGCCGCCCTTGGAGTGCCCCCCTTACATTAGTTGCCGCCCTTCGAGTGCCCCCTTACATTAGTTGCCGCCCTTGGAGTGCCCCCCTTACAT